GACGACCGAATATATGCAATCGGTGCACAATTAACTTTGAAGCGGGCAAACTGCATCCAAATCTGACAGAAATTAAGGATGGACTTGGATGTATATCATATATTTTATCGAAAAGCATTGTTATAGAGTGCACATTAATTTTTCTGGCAGATTTTTTGAATCGGATAAATCATATTTATGATAGCTGGCTTCTTTAGACAATTTGCAAAAAGTGCAAGAACTTACACCGCAACAGAAAGGAAAAAGGCTCAAAAGAGCTAAGGAGTTGCTTCATTTGGCGCTTCGCCGTGCGAGGGTTTCATTGGATGTTTGAAGGCCATAATTCGTGACAAAGGTGACCAATTCGAACAAATCAAAACTTATTCTTAAATTTGATGCTATTTCCGACATTTTTGCTTTCTTTCATAAAACTAAAAAAAAAAATAATAAAATCGTGGCGTTTGATTTTGTTGAAGTTTTTTATCTTACCCTGTATATATTGTTTTTATAAAAACAACAATAATGGGATTAAACCTGACCATTTTGCAGCTACTAACCAAAAATAATGAATTCTTATAAAGGCACAACTCTCAAAATTATTAATGAATTATTTTGTAAGAATATAATAATTAATTATGTAAATATTTTTAGAACAGTTTGGCTTATTTGTTAGTGTAGAACCACTAGTTCCCTTGTTTTTTGTCTGGGATATTCTCCCCAGAAAATATTTTAAAAATAACTTCTATGACAAAAACATTTTTTACCCAAGTGACGAGATCGTAAGCTCAATAGAAAAGGAACCAAAGAATTCAATAAAACTAAAATAGTTTTGGAAAGTCTTCTAAATCTTACAACCGCACTTATAAACATTTACATCTTTCTCCACTTGTTATGCTTTCGTTCAACCTGAACGAAGTAGCAAAAAAATGTCCCATCATAAACGAAATTGTGTGGGCGTCATTCTATGACAAACCGCCGATGTTGCTGTAAGAAACGCTAAGAAGATGTCTTGGGCGACTTAGTATGTCATGTGGAGTTGGCAGCAATACAAGCGAAACTCATAAGATTCTTCAAGAGATTTGGAAGGATGTAATTAAAAACCAGTAAAGAAAAGACAAAAGTAGGACGGTCGAATATATGCAATCGGTGCACATTTAACTTTACAGCGGGTAAGCTGCATCCAAATCTGACAGAAATTAAGGATGTTGATAGGATGTATATCTAACGTGACCATACGTCCCGCTTTGGGCGGGATAGTCCCGCTTTGAGGTTATCTGTCCCGCTGTCCCCAGCGAGAGCAAAAATGTCCCGCTTTCGAAAATACTGGATATTGATATTGATGAAAAATACATGAGTTATTTTTTTCCCCGTGAACATATAATTTATTTGCATAGTTTTTTTCAAGCAACATTAACATTAAAATTAACTCGAAAGATTTTGTAATGCTAATGCTGGAGTTAATGTTGACGTCGTCGACGGCGTCAAATGTCAACAAAATTGAATCGTATGAAATTTTATGAGAGCAGTTAATCTTAACGCCGTAAGAAATTCGACGCCGAAAAAGTTCAATCTGTTTCAACTTTTTCGGCGTTGACATTAACTCCAGCATAACAAGGGAAATCACCAAATTAAAAATGCTTATAAAAACAGAAAAAGTTTCTGTCACTCTGTCAGTACCCTAAACATAGACGCTCTAAATTGTTCTGGTATCTTTTCATCGCGGAGTCGGAGAAGGCGAGCAAAGTCAAACAATTTATTTTCAAAAAAACGCAAGTGTACTTTTAACATTTCTTTGCAAAATAAGTATCCATTTATAAAACAAAGAAGTGGTGAATCAGACGTTACGTGTGAAATATGTCGTACTGATTTTAGTGTTGGACATGGTGGTGCCAGTGATATTGAGAAGCATTTAAAATCGGAAAAACACAAGCTTTCTGATAAAGCTGCCGCTTCAAGCTCGTCAATGCTTTCTTTTTTTAAAAGAACAAATTTGGCGACTTCCAAAGACTTGGATATAGCTGCAGCGGAGGGTGCGTGGGCGTACCACACAGTGCAAGAAAACCTCAGTTTTCGTTCGAATGACTGTGCTTCAAATCTAACACAAACATGTTTTGAGCATAAATTTAGATGTGCCCGTACAAAATCACAAGCTATAGTTGTAAATGTGCTGGAACCTATGGCGATGGACGAATTGAAAGGACACCTTCACGAAGCCCACTGCATATCTTTATTAACCGATGCTTCCAATCATGGCTCAATAAAATTATTCCCTGTTTTAGTTCGCTATTTTGTACCATACGAAGGCGTGAGAGTCAGGATTTTAGAGTTTCAAAAGCAGCCAGGCGAATCATCTGATATAATTGTGGATTATTTGAAAGAAGTATTATCTTGCAATGATTTGAATAAGAAAATTGTGGCATTTTGTGCAGACAATATAAACTGCAATTTCGGAGGAAAGAATAGAAAAGGGATAAATAATGTTTACGCGAAATTGAACCTATCCGTCGGAAGGCAGCTCATTGGGATTGGGTGTGGAGCCCATATAATTCATAATGCTATCAAAACAGCCGCAGATTGTCTCCCTGTTGACTTCGAATGCATTCTTGTGAAAATTTATTCATTCTTCTACATCTACAGCATTCGGGTAGAAGTTCTGAAAGAGTTCTGTGATTCCACCGACACAGAGTATCAGAAGCTGTTGGGCTACAGTAAAACAAGGTGGCTTGCTTTAATGCCAACGCTTGAGAGAATTTTAAAAATGTTTCAGCCTTTGAAAACCTATTTTCTGAGCATAGATAAATGCCCTACTATTTTAAAAACGTTTTTCGAAAATCCCAGCTCTGAATTGTGGTTATATTTTTTGCACGCACAGACAGCGATTTTTCATCAAGCCGTGTTGAAAATCGAGGGACAAAACGTGTCCACAATAGAGTCTGCGAATGAAATTAATCGTCTCCGAGATAACTTAGAACTTAAAGAGAATTCGATTTTCCTTCCTTATTCCGTCCGCAACCTACTGGTAAAATTACAAAAAAACTGACGTTGCTGTTGATGAGCAGAATGTGAAAACTGCGGCAGCGGATTTTTATAAGACAAGTAAAGAATACTTGGAACAGTGGTGCCAGTTCAATGCACAACTAGCAGTATTTGAATGGTCAAATTTGAGAAAAGTCCCTACTTGGGAAGACGTACAGAATGTGACGGATTTGCTGATCACACAAAGATTTCTTAGCAGTAGCCAAGATACGGAGGTGTTCGATGAGTTTTCGCTTATTTCCAGTTACGTCACAGTTGAAAAAATCAAAAGCTGGACCGATGAGAATTTTGCTACCGAAGACCGTTATGTGGAGCTGTTTAAACACTTCCGTGCTAATAATCTCAACTGCACAAACGTTCACACAATTATTGAGTATGTTTTATGTATGCCTGGAAGTAACGCACCTGTCGAAAGAGTTTTTTCCCTAATGAATAAAATATGGACAAGTGAAAAAACGCAGTTAAGTGTGACAGTTTTAAAAGCTATTTTAATTACTAAGACTAACATCAACAAACAATGTAATCAGCTCCATTCCTACTTGAAAACTAGACCCGATATTTTAAAACTAATTTGCTCTGCTGACAAATATAAAACAAATACTTAGACATAAGATTAATTTCATAAATTAGATTTATACGTATTCTCTCCGTTTTTGAATAAAATTTGTTTTTAAATGCATAATTTTTTTTTACAAAATTCCGCAGGCGTCCCGCTCTGACGAAAAATATAAATTGTCACATTATGTATATCATATATTTTAAAATCATTGAATCGGAATAATCATATTTATATAGCTATAACTACTATATCTGAGCAAATCTTAGACATACTTTTTTTTTTAAGTTAAATTCAGTTGTATGTGCTGTAAGAAGAAATATAGAAGAGCTATACCTAAATCAGTAACGATCTCGAAAACATTTATCTAAGGTATTCCTAAGCTATTATTATCGGGGGAAATTTAAAATTCAAATTGTATGAACCAAATATATGGGTGTTATATCTATATCTGAGCCAATTTTCACCCAATTGCATTAAGCTACTTGCAGTTTAAATTGGGATAATATCAAACATTAGCCGCATTTAAAGAAGAATACGGGCGAAGCAATGAATAAGACATATATTCAATTTTAGACCGATTATCTCCAATTTCACAAGTGTTCAATTGATGTGACCTTTGCTTACAAAAATACATGGACTAACAGACATGCAATAATTGCCTCAGTAAGTGATTCTATTCAGATCAGAAAGAAACTGTGGGTTTATCTTTATATATATATATATATATATATATATATATATATATATATATATATATATATATGTATATATATATATATATATATATATATGTATATAAATATAAACCCACAGTATATATATATATATATATATATATATATATATATATATATACTTTTTTATCGTACAAGGTATTGAAGTTTATATAATTGAAATTACTATAACCTATAACATTCTACTTATAGGTTCACCCTTAGAGTAGTTAGTTCAGTGAAAATCAGTCTTTAAAAACTGATAATACCTGCTTAATCTAAATTCGATATTAATTATGAAAGAAGAAATAAAAATGCACGTTACCATTTAAGATTTTATACACCATTATAGTATAGAACATAATACATCCACTTTTTAATGTAGGTATCGAATTAATTTTAGCCTGTAGTATAGGGCGGTAATGCAAACCTACTGTTCCAAAGAAAATCTCTCAGCGCAAAAAGCAGTTAAAGTTAACATACTCTCCTCTCCATGATAGAGGTTATAAAAATAAATGTGGTTAAAAACCTACCTCTTACATACTAGTTCTATGATTTACCTCACTGTCTTGTATTTATTCAAGACAGTAACTACTAAAATTTCCAGAACGCTTTTCTCATACGGACAAGATATCTTGTTTATGGACTTGCTTGTGTAAACACGGTGTTGCTGACTGGTGGCAGGGTTGTGTGTAATTGTATTGTATTGTATTAATATCTACATCACTTATAAACCGGTTATATGAGCCAAATAATAAGGGATGATTTTTTATTTTATTATTGAAATAAGAACTACTATAAGCAGCGAACATTATAACGCGAAAATTTAAGTTTTACGTTTGTTCAATAAAGTTTTATACAAAGCCAAACAAGTAAGTACATTTGACTTACTACTACTATTTAATAAAAGTGGTAGATTAAAAATATAGTTAATTCCGTATAAAAGATTTTGCGAAATGAAAAGTATTTTAATACATTTTCTACATTTTTATACGAAGCTCAAAACAAAAATTCATATTTACTGCACTTGCTTAGTAAGTACGACACAATTCATTCAATTAATACCGTACTGTTAATAAGTTGAATTGACAAACATGTATGTTACTTTAGGATTAAAATGTGTTAACGATTAACATATTTCTTGACAAAGCAATATAGGTCAAAAAGGCTGTTTTATCGGTTAGTGTCATAAAATAGACCAAATATTTTGATTATGTCAAAATCTCGTTTTTCAGCTTCGAGAAGAAAACTTGAGCATGACGCTAAAATAAGCTTCAAATAACAATGATTTAGTTGATCACTCCATTTTTATACCCTCCACCGTCGGTTGTAATCACGCTACAATCAAAACGAATTAAGATAGAAAGCTAAAATTTTGCACAGATCCCTCTTCTGTCTGCAGGCAGGTCAAGTTCGAAGATGGGCTATATCGGTCCACGATATCATATAGCCCCCATATAACGGTACCCCCCGATATCCGGTATTTTGATGATTTTAGCCACATTTTCCAATGGAATAGTCTGAAAATCCACCGGAGGAGTTGTTTGAGAGCACTTTACTTCCTGAAAAAGAATTGTTTATATAGGTCCACGATATCGTATAGCCCCCATATAACGGTATCCCTCGATATTGGGTATTTTGATGATTTTAGCCACATTTTCCAATGGAATAGTTTAAAAATCCACACGAGGAGTTCCTTGTGAGCACTTTATTCCCTAAATGGGAATTGTCTATATAGGTCCACGATATCGTATAGCCCCCATATAACGGTACCTCCCGATATTCGGTATTTTGATAATTTTAGCCACATTTTCCAATGGAATAGTCTGAAAATCCACCGGAGGAATTCCTTGAGAGCACTTTACTCCCTAAATGGGAATTGTCTATATAGGTCCACGATATCGTATAGCCGCCATATAACGGTACCTCCCGATATTTGGTATTTTGATAATTTTAGCCACATTTTCCAATGGAATAGTCTGAAAATCCACACGAGGAGTTCCTTGTGAGCACTTTAGCCTCTGAAAGGGATGATTTTTTTTTTTTTTTGAAAATGTCCTAATCGTCCCAAATGGTGGAGGCTATTCAAAGTATGGCCCGGCTGAACTTACTGCTTTTTTACTTGTTATACACTCCATTATACTATGGAGGGTATATTAACTTTGTCATTCCGTTTGTAACTCCTCGAAAAACTCATGTCAGACCCTACAAAGTATTTATATTCTTGATCAGATTAAAATTCTAAGTCGATTAAGCGATGCCCGTCTGCCTGTTGTAATCACGCTATATTTCGAACGAATAAAGATAGAACGCTAAAATTTTGCACACATGTTTATTTTTCCAGTAGGCAGGTTATGTTCGTAAATGGGCCATGTAGGTCCACGTCTTCGTATAGCCCCATATAACGGTACCTCCCGATATTCGGTATTTTGATGATTTTAGCGACATTATTCACCGGAATAGTTTCATATTAGGTATTTGAAGTTCGAAAGGGATTTTACAGCCTAAGACAGAAAATTTACTGTGCAGGTCCACGCCTTCGTATAGCCCCTATATAACGGTACCTCCCTATATTCGGTATTTTGATGATTTTAGCGACATTATTAACCGGAATTGTTTCAAATTTGATATTTGAGGTTCGTGATGGATACTACAGCCTATGACAGAAAATTTTCTATGCAGGTCACGACTTCGTATAGCCCCCATATAACGGAACATCCCAATATTCGCCATTTTGATGATTTTATCGTCATTGTTCACCGGAATTGTTTCAAATTACGTTTTGAGAATTCGTAATGTGATCTACAGCTTTTTAGCTTGTTTGTAACATTATTAGTCGACTGTATAACATAGATTTATTAAAATTAATATTTTGTAAACAATAATGCTCATGACTAAATTAGGATAACAGAAAAAATTAATATAATCAAGAAGTAAAAAACATAATTTCTACCGGACCGAACTTTAAATACCCTCCACTATTAGCTAAAGAAATCATTTTTATATAAAAGCATCTGGATTCAAACGTATTCCACTTTTAACTACAAATGCCAGAGAGGTCGGTTAGATAATGCAGTTAAAGCTCACAAAAAAACAATTAAGTCGATTAGGCCATTACAGAATGTGACTAAAATCGTCAAAATACCGAACATCCGAAGGTGCCCTTATATGTGCACTAGGAAATTGTAGACCCACCTATTTAAAGCTCTGCTACTGGATGTAAAATCCATTACGAACTACAATATATTATTGTTATATATATTGGGGTTATACGAAAACCTGGACCTATATATGCAATGTTCCCCCACCGGAGCTAAAACCTACTGAACTACAAATACAATAAATTGTGGCTACAAACACCAAAATAACGGATATCGGGAGATATTGCTATAGAGGCTGGCTAAAGGGAAGGTCAGCTGGTTTTGCGAAAAAAAAGAACATCCGCTTTGGTCAAGCGTTGACATTTCTTGTTCGTTCAAATAATGTGGTCATTTGTCTGTGTACTTAAAGTCTAGTCAATTGATTATTGCTTTAAAATTAAAAGGACTATCGAAACCCATTATAAAACATCTGCGAAACCCTACATTTTCTTCCTTAACCTGATTATATTTTTTGTAAAATTTATAAGCGTAAAATAAATTAACCGAATTTTGATCCAAACCACTGTCTAGAAAATCTTTTGAATTGATCCTAAAAGCGTATTTCAACTTAAAAGAAATGATACGATACCTATAACATCGAGTGAAAATTATATAATTAAATTATAAATATGTTGAAAATTGCTTGGAGGGTAGCTACAGCGACTAAGTTAATGATTTTTGAAAATCAGTTTTGTGTGAGGAACTGCATAATGTATGTTTGTTTTTACTCATAACGCTGAACCGAAGCAAATGGAACCAAAACCACGGGTCGGGACAACTGAAAACACATCCCAAAAACTGAAACATGGTTCTAAAAGGAGCGTAAATACTTTGGAACTTCTTTATAATGTACGATTAGTTCGTCGCAATGAATAACATTCTACTATAAGGATCATCCATTTAGTATTATTCTACTTATTAAGGAACACGAATAGAGAAATACTCTGTTACTGACAATGCACCCGAGCTAGTCAACAACAACAACATGAATAACATTTGGAAATAAGCAGAAATCAAACAACTGGATAATAAATCAATATAAGAATTGAAAGTGAATAAAGTGTATTATCGGCTTGATAAACAAAAATAAAAATAATACTTTTTACACTATAAAGGAAACAAATAAAACAGAGGTTAAAAAATATGTTTATAATGGCTACTGCTTCGAATATGTGCCCTCCATCCTGTCACCCCCTCCCGGTCCTTCGCAAAAGGAAAATAGGAACGATATGAAAAGTGTAATTAGACTTTACGTAGAATAGTCTAGGGAAGCTGTCAAGAAAATGTTGAAATGTTGTTGAGGTTATCGTGGAGACCAAGAGAATATCTCGTTGATTTACACAAGATCACGAAAGTAGTAAAATGTTTAAGAAATTTTTCAGGAAATCCGACAGAATACAGCACTTGGAAGAAGAGTGTAGAAAGGACTTACTAGCAATAGTATTAAAGTCGCTCAGAAACTACTTGTATGACTCAGCGAAAATGAAAATATTTGCACTGACATTTGCTCTAAATAATAAGAACTTTAATTGTAAATTGATAAGATGGAAAGCATTTTTAGAAGATATGAAGTAACTCAAAAACCAGAAAGATATACTGTCGTTGCTGACGTTCTTCTAAGAATTCCTCATGTGAACTCGCAACTTATCTGTGTAACGACAACACAAAATAACGACGAAAGTTTATCTCATAACTTCATTTCATTTACGGATGCTACCATAAATGCTTTTAAAATCCAAATTATATTATCTTTGAAGATCTAACATTATACCAAATTGAGATAATCTTTCCCACTTACCGCAGACACACAATTTCTGATCCAAATGTTTCTAATGTCAATCTGAAATCTATCCTAAAATATGTCTAAATCCTTTCGTTACCAACTGCATCAAAACAGATGACAGCATTTTAGGAAAGATTTAAAGACAACTGTAATCAATATAAAATTAAATATACTCGGACTATAGTAAAAGATATAACGGGTAAGTTCGGCCGGGCCAGCTTTTATTCTTGTTATTATTCAAAAGCAGGATGATACTTACTGATATAAATTTTATGTTTATAGATAAATAAAATATGTACATTATAAATTATTATTATTTTTTGTGTTCATTTTTCATTTATACGGCAGTAAAAAATCTGTGTGGACTAGCATGAACTATTTTAACCAAACTAGCTTATACTTCTTCAATGAACTAGATCATTCTTCAATTGTAAAAGTATATGAAATGCACTGCCCTATAGACCCCACAAAATCACTCAAAAACACCCAGTCATTGGAGGACATTCGTATTCGATGTGTTATCAGGAATTCGACTCCTTATTGTGCTTACTTAAATGACTCAATTTTTGTATTTGGCTATCTAATACTAAGGAAAACTAGAATTGATTTTATGAAAAGATTTATTCATTTATTCTTTTCGTATACAAAGGCCTCTGCGCCATTAAGGCATTTTAATTTCAAGTCGGTAAAATATAAACAACTAATATATGAATAAAATACATATCAAATTTTTAAAATGTACAAATAAAATACTTTTAAAATTTAGCTTTACAATTTAGGAGCTCTTCAACATTTCGTAACAGACACTTTTTAATTTCTGAATTATAAAGTGAATATCTTCTAATATTTCTCAATTCATGGCGTAAATCATTACATAATTTACTACCAAAATGTTGGATACGTTTCTTAGTTTTTTCACTACGGCAGACTACTACTTGTAGTAGGTCAT